GGGGGAGGGGGGGGTGGGGTGGGACTTGTGGCACAGGACAGGTGCTCACATGTGCGGGACGGGACAGGCATCGGGGGAATCGGAGGATCGCTGACGGCGCGGTGCGCACGGTCGCGGGTAGTTGGGTTTATGCACTGGTGCTAGCGCTGGACTCGGCGCTAACCTTGGACTTGGACGCCTTCTTGCTTGACTTGCCCTTGCCCTTGGACGCCTTCTTGCTCGACTTGGACTTGGACGCCTTCTTGCTCGACTTGGCCTTCTTGGACTTGCCCTTGGCCTTGGCCTTCTTGGACTTGCCCTTGGCCTTGGCCTTCTTGGACTTGCCCTTGGCCTTGGCCTTGCCATCAGACGCCGCAGCATCCAAAGCGGCCGAGCCGTTGCTGTTGTCACTGCTAGGGCCAGCGTCATCGTTCGAGTCAGAGCCGGCCTTGGACTTGGCCTTGGACTTGGACTTGTGCTTGGACTTGTGCTTGGACTTGTGCTTGGACTTGTGCTTGGACTTGTGCTTGTGCTTGTGCTTGCTCTTCTTCTTGCCCTTACCCTTGTGCTTGTGGCGGTGCTTGTGGCGGTGCTTTGACTTGCGGATGATGATGGGCGAGTCCGAGCCAGCCGAGAGGTACGCCAGATCCGAGCCCGAGTCCGAGGCGACGAGCACAAGCGGCTTGCGCGAGCGTGAGCGCGAGAGCGAGCGGGTACGGAGGTGCGAGCGCCCGAGCGAGCGGTGCGAGGCCCGCAGTGACGCGCCGGCGTCGACAACCATGACCCGCGCCGCACCGCCTGTCGACCGCAGCGAGCCGCGGTGTCCGGGCCGCTCCAACGACCGCCGGTTGATGCGAATGATGAGGTCGGAGCCCGAGACCTCGGCAGCCACGTCCGACGAGAACGAGCCCGAACCACGCTCCGCAAGCTTCTTGCGCCGCCGGTACTTGGGCCGCGGCGCAGCCTTGCCCTTGCCCTTGCTCTTCTTGCTCTTCTTGCTCTTCTTGCTTCCGCTCTTCTTCGTCTTGCTCTGCTGGCGCTCCGGCTCATCCGAGGGCATTGTGTACGTGTACGTGTACGCCGAGTTGGACGGATGCGAGTGGTCGCGCACATACGCGATCGGCCGGCCCTTGGCGTCGCGCTCTGGCCGCTTGCCCTTGCCCTTGCCCTTGCCCTTGCCGCTAGCCTTGCCTGCACTCGCGCTGGAGCTGGAGCTGGAGCTGGAGCTGGAGCTGGAGCTGGAGCTGGAGCTGGAGCTCGATTCCGACTCGCCTGAGCCCGAGTCCGAACCCGAGGCCGCAGCACCGTCGGCCTCGTCGGACATTGGCTTCTCAATGACCGTCGTCACGACCCGCTTGCGGTGCTTGTGGCGTTTGGACTTGGAGCCCTTGGAGCCCTTGGAGCTCTTGACGCTTGCGGCGGCGTCGGTCTTGACAACCGTCGCCGTGGTCGTCGCAGTCCCGTCGTCGGCGACCTGCTTCTTGACCCGCTTCTTCTTGGTGCTCTTCTTGCGGCGTTTCTTGGTCCGCGTCCCGTCGGCCGACGCCACAGTCTTGGTCGAGGTACTCGTTGTCCGCTTCTTCTTGCGGCGCTTCTTGGTGCTTCCGCCGGTTGACTTTCTCCGCCGCTTCTTCTTGCTTGTCGTCGTCGTCGTCGTCGTCGTACCCCCGCCGTCGGCCGATACCCGCCGCTTCTTCTTCCGCCGCTTCTTGGTCGATGAGGCGCCGGTTGTCGACTTGCGGCGCCTCTTCTTGCTGCTTGTCTTCTTCTTCGTCTTCTTGCGGCGCTTGGACGTCGTCGCCATCGCGCCGCCGCCAATAAGGGTGGCGTCAACGGTGCCGGCCGGACGCGACTTGGGCAGCGCCGAGGCCACCACCTTAAAGTAGTCGGCAACCTCCTTGACCTTGGACGACTTGAGGAACTTCTTCAGCTCCTCCTGCGAGATGATGCCGTCGTTGTTGACATCGACCTCGGCAAACAGCTGGGCAGCGACCTTGTGCAGCGGGCGCTTCTCGGACGACGGCAGAAGAAAGGCTGGAATGGTGGTGTCAAACTCGGGCACCAGGCCAGGCAGGACAAAGTTGCATCGCTTGACCGACATGGCGATCATGACAAACAAGGTCTTGACCTCGCGCTCATCCAGACCCGCCGGATCAAACAAGCCTGCAAGAGCAGAGACCATGGTCTTGGCCGAGGTGGTGTGCAAAAGGACACAGAAGACAGCAAACTCCTTCACAAACATCTTGCCAGAGTCGGCAAACAGCTTGAAGAAGTCGCGGCGGAACTGGCGGGTGGTGCCAAAGCCCACCTGTTCAGCCACCTCCATCCACTTTGACTCGGACAGACGGCCCGATTCGATTTTTTGCAGCGCCGCAACCATGGCAGACAGCTCATCCCGTCCAACTACTCCCTCCCCATTCCCATGTGTGAGCCATGTCCCCCCTTATCTCCCCGTCAAACACACTGTGCCTCCCTCCCTTCCCCCTCCCTTCGCCCTCTCCCTCCCCCGTTACCCCCCAAATCCCCCCCCCCCCCTGTCGCCCACCACTGGTCGAACATTCGTTTGTTATGTTTGGCTGCGCTGACCAGAAGTCGCTTGAATGGACCAGGCCAACGGACACACCCGCACCCACCGCCCGCCCGCCAGCTAGCCCGCCACCACCCCTGTCACCACCACGCCCTCCCCCCCCCCCCACGCCCCTCCCTGAACTATGTCACTTACTCTCAGAGTTGGCCGTCAGGTGGCTCAGCTCCGCCGCAGACGGCGCTTTGGTCGAGTATCCCACACCCATGACCGCTTGCGAGAGCTGTGTGACCGGCCGTCGCTTGGCTGGCGGAGACTCGGCCACTACTCAATCCATGTCGTGCGCACCGTTCTCGGCTTGACCGTATCCGGTGCGCGTAGTTGGTTTGCCACTCTGCTGCAGCCAAGCACTTGAGGAGCTCGGTAACTCGCAGGCTGCTTCATGCTACAATGGTCTCTGCTACGCTGCTAGGCGCTCATCGGTAGCGGCAAGCTGTTCGGTGATGGTGCTGGCGACGGCGACGAGGTCGCTGAGCGTTTCGCTGGCCGACTGGCTCGAGTTGACTCCATTCGGCCTCTCACGGGCATCGGTTGCGAGTCCGTCGGCGAGTGCCGAGGCGAGCATGGCCTCATCCGGCGTGTGCTGCCCGTCATGAGTCGCTGCCACCGCCAGCTCTGCCAGCGACGCCATGGTGAACTGAGCAAGAAACGCGCGCGCGGTCGCCACGCGCGGCTCCTCGCCGGGCACCATCACTGCCAGCGCCTCCGCCATCCGCGCGCCCACGTCCAACGCCTCTGTGGCGAAAATCCCGCCCTCGCTATTGGGATCCTCTAGCACCGCCTCAAGCGCTACCAGCGCCGTCTCGAGCAGCTCGTCTGGGCTTCCGCATGGCACAACCTGGACACAGCGGCGGACCGGGGCGCGGCCAAGCCCGACGCCTGGCCGGTCGGTCAGCACCTCAGCCTGTACTGCAGCCAGCACCGACTCCATGTCATCGATCGAGAGCGCAAGGACGAGAAAGCGCGTGTAGCCGTTGCCAAACTCGCACCGCAGAGACCTCGCCGTTGCCATCGCTTCCGCCTCGCTCGCCGCCCATCCAAGTGCGACCTTTTTCTGCGGCACCAGCACCTGCGCCCCGCCACTCCCGGGCAGTGATGGCCCTGTTGCAGGTGAGGAGACAAGCCAAACGTGAGGGGAGGATACGTGAGTACGTCCCCTATCTTGACAGTGCGCTGCGTCACCACTCTCGCCCGTAGCAGGCCATGCCTGTGCCCGTCGTCCTCGCTACGCCTTCCCCCCCCCCCCCTCGCCAGCTTTGCTGATCACACGACACATGCATGACCAACGCACCCACGCGTGCACGGTAGCCACTCTCTTGCAGAAGACGCACTAGACCAGCTGCTTCGGGCGAGACGATGATCATGGGAGTGAGACCATCATCCCGAGTACGCGACCGGTTTTCCATTGATCAGCAACAACTGGGTGTAGTGGCAGGTGTTTGTGTGTGTGTGTATGTGTGTGTGCATGTGTGTGATCAGCCGGTGATCAGGTTGTGATCGATCGTGGTCGAGCTGTCCAGCCATGGACCCATAGGCACAGCTACTCCACTCCTCCTCGCCCTCTCTCCCCCTCCCTCCCCTCCCCCCCCCCCCCCCCCTTCCCTCTCGCCATACATACCCTCTGCATTCACGGCCATCCTCTCCTCTCCGTCAAATGTATCCGGCACGTATGTCGCTCAGTGGGAGCAGACGCGGGCGTCGGACGTGGCTTTGGCTCTGCTTGGCTGGACTGGCGGTGGTCTCGATGACATGGTTGGTCGCCTCGCGGGGAAGCAGCAGCCGGAGTGGCGGAGAGGCCGGCTGGGCTATGGGCGGCTTTGTCTCTGACAGCAACCGAGGTCAAGGCGGAGGCCAAGGCGGAGGTCAAGGTGGAGGCCAAGGCGGGACGGCGTCACCGCATAAGCATGTGGCGCTGGCGAACCGGAAGCAAGCGGCCAACGCCGAGGACGACAGCGTGGAGGAGCATGCGCACGGGCATGGCAATGCTGGACCACGGCTTGGGCTGCTGACCAAAGAGGTTGTGGCGAGCATTGCTGATGCGGACCACAACGTCATGATTGCCTTCTCTAACTATCTGTTCAAAGACCTGGCTCTCAATCTGTATCTGGGGGCTGAGGAGGCCGGCATCTCCAACATCCTTGTCTGCGCCTTTGACGACAAGCTTGAGGAGTATCTGGTGGGCATGGGCGTGCCTGTGGCGCTCCTTGACGCTGAAGTTGTGTTTGCCGACTCGGACCATTTGCGGTCGGCGACGTTCAAGCAGCTCAACCGGCTCAAGTACGCGGTCATTACTGAGATTGTCTCGTGGGGCTACTCGGTGCTTGCGACCGACGTCGATGCTGTGGTCATGCGCAACCCGTTTCCGTGGCTCAAGCTCTACGGCCAGCACACAGACATGATGCTCTCGACGGACCGAATTCATGCGCCGGACATCAGCGACGGGCCGGACAACGAGAAGCAGAACTACTTGCACTACTACTGCATCGGGATCATGTACATCCGGCCGACACCGGCGTCGAACGCGTTCCTTTCGGCGTGGGTCGACGCCATGCACGCCGACCTCGACATTCTCGACCAGGCTGCGCTCATGCAGTTGATGAACGAAGGCTTTGAGCGGACGGACCGACTCTCGCGAGTCTCGCTAGTGTGGAACAAGCGGTTGCGGACGGCCGACCTACCGACGCTGCTCTTCTGCAACGGGCACGTGTTCTACACACAGCGGCTCCCGCAGCGGCTCGGGTTCTTCCCGTTCATGGCCCATTCGACGTTCCAGTTTGGGCGGATGGACGGCAAGATCATGGCCATGCGGCAGCATCAGCTCTTCCACGACCCACCCGAGTACTACCGCGGCAAGTTCCTGGCCTTTGACCTCAATATTCCGTCGGACATGCTCGAGCCCGAGTTTGTGCCGTCCAAGGCTGTGCCGACCAAGCACATTGCGCTGGGCAAGCTGCAGGTGGCGCAGGTGATGCAAGCCTTTGCCCTTGCGCGCGCCATGGGCCGCATCCTCATTCTCCCGCGGGTCCAGTGCCTTTGCGACACGTACTGGTGGTTCCTCGGCGACGGTTGCATGCTGAGTGGGACCAAAGACATGGGCTTCCCCACCGCCTGCCCTCTCGACCACATCCTCAACCCGTATCACCTCCGGGTCGACTCGGGCCTCGATTTTCGCGAGTCGAGCTTCCTGGAGAACCCCAAGGTTCCGGCGTCGCTCCTCCGCTCGCGGGTGACCGTCACCTTTTGCGCCGACTGCGAGGCCGACGCAGCCCACGCCGCCGACGATCTCGACGCCGACGCCGACTCGCACTTTTCGCTCGACCCTTCCGGCCAAGTGGTGGCCCACGACAACGACGTGCTCCACTTCCACGCGCCGACTTCGGACGCCGGCTGGGCCAAGCGGCTTGCCGACTACGACGATGTGGCCGTCATCCACTTTTCGTCTGTCGACAAGGCCCTGACCGGCCTCGTCAAGTCCGGTGACGTAGACTATTTTAATCGGGCGTACTTTAAGAGCGCTGCCGCCTGGTGCTGCGCTGAGGACATCGGCGCCATCAAGCTCGTCTACGATAACGACCTGTTTAGTCTCGCTCCCTGAGCCGCGCCGAACGCCGTGTCGAGCGCCGCGCCGGCGGAGGGCTTTGCGCCTTTCGCGCCGGCGAGCGTGCTGCCCGCTTGCGCGAAGGTCGAGGCTGCGGCGACGGTGAGCGTGCCGGCTCGCTTCTTGCACAAGACTTGGTAAAGGCATTGACGATGGCATCAAGCGCACGGCCTGCGGCGGCTTGGTACTCGTCGTCGGAAGTAGTGTAGAGAGGGCTGATTGCGGCAGCGGCGGAGTGCAGAAAGGCAGCAAGATGAGGCGGGAGGTGGCGAGCGGCGGCGTCGGGCTGCTTGGCGGCCGCCAAGCTCGCATGATCGCGCTTGGTCAGCTTGGCCTTGGCGCAGAGGCCAGCCCACGGCAGAGCGCCGCCGTTGGCAAGAGCAACACCAGAGTAAGCGAGCGAGAGCAAGTCGTCAGCGATGACGGCACCCGGCGTGCCACGGTACGGCTCGCGGACGTGCTGGTCGGGCGCCATAAAGAGCGGTGAGCCCCAGCAGCCGCGGACGGCGCGTGCATTCTGCGACGAAAGAAAGGCGACACGCAGTGCGCCGCCAAAATCGATGAGGTGGACCGGGAGGGCGTCGCCGAGGCAGAGCACAAAGTTGGCAGGCTTGACGTCGGTGTGGACGAGGCCGGCAGCGTGGACCTCGCCAAGCGCAGCCGCCATCGAGCTGAATAGTGTCGCTGGCTCTGAGGTGAGGAGGCCGGTCTCGAGCTGCTGCTGGAGCGACGAGCCGAGAAGACCGGCCAAGGCGACGCGAACCTGCGCGCCGTCTACCTCTGCCGAGCCGATGGCAAACGGCGGGAGGCCACACTGTGCCGCGCCGCCCTCGACCACAAGCGCCAGCGAAGTCTTGATGTGGGCTGTCAGCTGCGACGAGATGGTATTCTGCGGCTCCATGGCCACCGCCACCTGCGCGCCGACATTGCCGCCAGTGGCGGTCAGCGTTCCGCCAGTGATTCTCCCGCGGACCCGCGTCACAGCGCCTGCGTGTCCACATGGGCCTTTGCCGTTTGGCAGCAGACCGAGCTCTGTCGAGGGCTTGAACGCGATCTCGATCTGTGCCTTGAACCGCGGGTAACGGGTAGTGATGGTTGCAGCTGTTGCGTCGGTGTCGGATCCTGAGCCATCATCCGAACCCAGCTCGTCATGGGATGCCAACTCGTCGTCGGATCCTGAGCCATCATCCGAACCCAGCTCGTCATGGGATGCCAACTCGTCGTTGGATCCTGAGCCATCATCCGCACCCAGCTCGTCATGGGATGCCAGCTCGTCGTCGGATACCAGCTCGTCGTCCGAATCCAGCTCGTCGTCCGAACCCAGCTCGTCGTCCGAACCCAGCTCGTCATGGGATGCCAACTCGTCGTTGGATCCTGAGCCATCATCCGAACCCAGCTCGTCGTCGGATACCAGCTCGTCGTCCGAAACCAGCTCGTCGTCCGAACCCAGCTCATCGTCCGAACCCAGCTCGTCGTCCGAACCCAGCTCGTCGTCCGAACCCAGCTCGTCGTCCGAACCCAGCTCGTCGTCCGAACCCAGCTCGTCATCGGATACCAGACTCTCATCCGATGCCAGACCCCCGCGCATTTCCGCCTTCCTTCCATCGTCCACGCCCCGCGCATGGCCAGCAGCGTCTCCCCCTTGGCACCTCGCCTGCTCTGGGTCGGCGGCCAGAACCGACGACACCAGGCCCATACCAACAGACCCAAGACAACCAAGCGCAACCAGATGGAAGGACAAGACCTAGCCAGCAGCTGTACTCACCCGCTGTCTCTTGCCGGTCGTCAGAAAAGTGTATCGTCACCGCCACCGTCGCTGGCCATGCTGACGCCGGCTCTGCCTCCCCAACATAGGTAGAACCGGCTCTTTCGCTTTGGCGCCAACTCGTCCCCCTCTCCTGCCGCCGCCGCACCACTCCGCGCTGCCGCCGCCTTCTCCCATGGCACATATCCATTACGCGTTCATTCCGATGACCGACCACGAGTCGACGATCTGCAAGACTTGCTGGGCGGTGGGTCGGACATGGGCTGACTGGTGCCAGCAGATGGCGACGAGGGAGAAGGTCTCCTTGGAGACGCCCGGAGGCGCCGACGGCCGCTGACCCTGGATGACGTGGAGGGCCGACTCCATGGAGGAGACGGTGATGGTGGGGACGGAGCCGGTCATGATGCCGTAGAGCATCATGCCAAGGGCGTAGATATCGGCGCGGCGGGTCATCGGCTCGCCGAGCAGCACCTCGGGAGCGGCGTAGATGACGTCGCCGACAGCGGTGGCCGTCTGGAGCGAGACGCGGATGTCGAAGAAGCCGTAGTCGGTGAGCGAGACCCTGTCGCCGTTGTCCTGGATAAGCACATTCGACGGATGAAGCGCGCCGTGGAAGAGGCCGCGGGCGTGGAGCGCGATAAGACCGACCACAATCTCGCGGAAGATCTTGAGGCCAAACCGGAGCGAGAGTTGCAGCTCGGGATTGGTTAGGTACTCCTGCAGAGAGATGGCGTCGTGCAAGTATTCTGTGATAAAGCCAACCATCGGCGAGCGGAGACAGACGCCGGAGGCAGACACAATGTTGGGCACCGCCCGCGGCGGAAGCCAGCCTGACGTCGCGCCGGCGCCGACAGTCAGCCGCCGGTACTCGAGAAACTGGCAGACAAGGGCCACGAGCTCGCGCGGCATGAGCTGTTGCAGGAGAAAGACCTTGATGCAGACCTCGGAGCCGCGCCACGCGCCACGCCATGTGGTGGCATACGAGCCGACGCCAACCCGCTCGATGAGATGCAGCTCGTATGGCTCTGCGAGCCACGGCGAGGGTGTGAGGAGCGGCGACCACGGCGGGCGTTGCGATGGTGGCGGCCGATGCGCCGCGTACGAGTCGTGGAGCACTAGGTTCGAGTCCTCGCCCACCGGCGCGAGCGCCATGCTCATCGACGACGTCGGTAGCGTTCCGCTGGCAGCAAGCGCTGGTCCTGAACCAGGAACGCTCGCCTCGCCGGTAGCGGCCGAGCTCCGCATCGTGACTGCGGGCGCGGTCTCGTCCGGCCCGCCCGGAGTGAGCATGGCCGCCGACGGCACACCTGGGGAAAGCGATGTCGCATGCGACTGTGCCGAGACCTGGGCTGTGCCCGGCAACCCTGAGCCTTGAAGCGACGACCAGGAGGTCTCGCCCTCTTCCTCGGATGTCTCGTCGACAATGGCAGCAAAGTTGCGCTGCGGCACGCCCGGCAGCTGGACCGACATGTACGGGAGCCGCGGCGAGGTTGACGAGAGCGAGTACGTGAAGAGGGTACCGAGCTCGGGCGGCCACGACCTCAGCTCGACGAGGTCGGACACATTGACGTCGTGCCCTGCAGCGAGCTCGGCGACAACCTCTTTGGATGAGCACGCCGCCGAGGAGACAAGAGTCTGACCCGACTGGCAGAGCGCTTGCAGCGACTCGATGAGGTCGAGGCCGGCGTGGGTGTAGTAGATGGCGTCGGTCTTCATGTCGCGGTGCGTCCGCATGATGCCGTAGTGCACGGTAATGCCGACCGCCATGCCGGCGAGAACAACTTCCTCGTCGTCTTCGCGGGCAGTCGACGCCCGTGAGTTCTTGGACAACCGCGGCGACTTTTTGACGGACGCATGCCGCCGCAGCCCGGCTGCCGAGCGCGGCGAGCAGTGCGAGCGGTCAGTGGTGAGTGCCGTCGAGCCTGTGAGACCGCCCGACCGCGCCGTCGACAGGTTCGAATGGTTCGATGCTCCGTGCTCGCTCTCACCGCCCTCCGACGATGAGCCATACTGCGAGAGCTCGTCCGAGTACACACTTGCCGAGTATTCGATCTCCTCGTACGTGTATGACATGTCACCAAGACCGCGCCGACGGCTTCCTCCGACCGTCTGCGAGCCAGACATGGTGACGGACGCCGAGAGCGAGACCGAGTGCGAGAGCGAGTTCTTGGACCGGGTCAGCGACGAGGTACCAGTCGTGTTGAGTGTTGGCAACGCCCGCCCGTTCATCGAGTCCGACTTGCGGCTGCTCTTCTGCGACGTCTTTGACTTGCGGCGGCCCGACGGCGGCCTGGCGCTGGCCGACACCCGCGACCGGGTCTGTGACTTGGGCTGGGACTTGGCCTTTCCGGCCTTGGCCCGCGCCTTGGCTCTTGCCTTTGCCTTTGTCTTTGCCTTTGCCTTTGCTCGCGCTCGTGCCTTGGCGTCCTTCCGCTGTTCCGACTTGCGGCCCCGCGGCGGCTTTTCCGAGCTCGCGCGGCGCGACTTTGTCGGCGACGCACGGGTTCCAGCCTTGAGACTCTTCTTGGTCGTCTTGGCCTTCCTAGCCTTGGCCTTGAGTTTGGCCTTGGCTTTTGCTTTTGCCTTTGCTCTGGCGCGGGCCTTTGCTCGGACACGGGCGTCGTCTGCATCGGCCTCACCGGACGAGCCCTTCTTGTTCTTGGCGGTTCTAGAGCGCGACTTTGCGGCGCGGGCCTTTGCCTCGGCCTTTGCGCGGGCACGGGCCTTTGCCTTGTCTTTTGTCTTTGCCTTGGCCTTTGCACGGGCGCGGGCTTTTGCCTTTGCCTTGGCTCTTGCCTTGGCCTTAGCCTTTTCCCGAGCTTTGGCCGCAGTCCTGGCGTCCGAATCGGGATGCGGCTCAGACTCCGCAGGATCGGGCATTGGCATGTCAAGCGTGGGGGGCGTGGGGGTAGAGGTATCAGCCAGGACCGCCTCGACGCAGTCTTGCAGTGATGAGGCTGAGGCCGAGTCCGAGGCCACGTCCGAGGCCAAGCCGTCCCGCGACGTCGAGGGCGACGCCGAGTGTGAAGCCGAGGCCGAGGGCGAGACCGAGGCCGAGGGCGGACCCGAGTAGTCTGCGTCACCCGACGAGGAGAGCGAGAGCGAGGCGGACTCCTGTCCCTCTACACCGTCGTGTTCGACAGGCATGGAGGACGAGAGTACGAGACTCTCCTGCTGTTCGTACAGCTTGGGAACCGAGGCGTCTGTGGCCTTGGGTTTTGTATGATAGACCGGGATGGTGACGCGCGGACGGCCGATGGGGGACTCGAGGATGGCCGGCCCCCACTTTGCATCCATCATGGAGCGCTGGACGCCAGCGCAAAACTTGATCAGTTGGGCGCCGGTCTGAAAGGCGACGCAGAACTGGTCGATGTGGCGCATCCAGATGAAGCCAGAGGTGTCCTTGGCTACTTGCTTGACGATGTCCTGGAAGAGAAGGACGCCGCGTGAGAACTCGGACGAGGTGAGGATGAGGCCCCACTCGGACATGTACTTGAGCTTGACGTTTGCGACAAAGACGGCACCCATGGGCACTTCAGCAATGTCGACGCGCGGAGCGTTGGTGGGCATTTGCGAGCCGGCCTGGGCCTGAAGGGTGGCGAGGATGCGCTCAAAGGTGGGGCGCTGGAGCGCTTCGACGTGCCAGCACCGCTGGGCGAGCGAGCGAATGGCGGTCGGGCGGTCGGGCATCTGGTCGATGGGCGGGCGGAGGGTGTTGCGGATGACTTGCATGGCGACAGCATACTGGTTG